CTGTCAATAATAATTCTTAGAAAGAAAATCGGAATTAGCAGGTCAAACTCACAAAAAAGAAAATCGGAATCGGCCAAGAAAATTGCAATCGGTGCATCTCTAGTTGGTTTTATCTCTATAGCAACAGCAATAAAAGACTGCATCATCTTATGACAGCACATTTGAGACAGTATATTGATAGGATGTCAGTTTCTATAGATCATACATGCCCTTTGACACACCTTCCAATTATCTTTGCTAAACACAATCACAATCTAGTCAGATGTTAAACGTCACCAGTCACACACCTGTAAAAATGGAAATCACAGAACTTGAAAGATTACAATGGCAGCACAAACCCAAACACGTCATCATTCAGGAAACTACTCAAAGTGGATCAATTTTCACATTACGCAACTTCCATAATCTCACATGAGCTTTTTATGAACTAGATCAGGGGTTTCAAACTGGGGTCTTGGGACCCAAAAGGGAGTACAATGGAGGTCCATGGAAAGTTTTAGAGAAATAAAGTGTAAAAAAAATAAACAAACAAACAAAAACATGTAAAATATAAAGATTTATAAAAATGTGAACTAAATTAGGCCTGTCACGATAACAAATTTGTTGTGCGATATTTTGCCCCAGAAATAATTGCGATAAGCGATATTATTGTCATTTTAAAGACCATTTTATGCCACTGAATATATAATCATAATGTACCAGCATAATAATGCAAGAAGGCCTACACACTTCCAAATGACACCAAACTTTTAATTTTTAAGAATATTTAGATTATCAAAATTAAGTATCAAAATATTAGATACCTTAAAAAACCTGAATAAATAGTAAATAAACATTTTTTTTAACAAAAAGTGCAAAGCAACAAGTAGAAAAAAAGAAAAATGCACAAAGAACTTGTATGGAGATTTTTCCCGGGCACAAGGGTGCACACTATTGCTGAAAAACACAATCACTACTTAGCAGTCAGATGTCAGTACGCACAAAGGCACAGATCCCTAAACAAGACCATATCTGCAGATGAAACTTTGTTTGTAGAAGCATTTTTTAATTTTGAACTAGCACCTCATGACTACATCACGTTATGTACGAGAAGCTGCAAAAGACACAAGCGCAAGTGGAATGTAAAAACATGGTGACATTCATTTTTAAGTAAATATAATGTGCGATATATTGCGTCACGAAAAATTATTGAGGTCATGTACATATATTGCACGATAAGTCGATATATTGATTATTGCGACAGGCCTAAACTAAATAAATATTTTTAAATAAATTTAATCAACACACACACACACAAATACAATACATCTAAGTACAGTACTATCATGAAAAGGAAAAAAGTGTTATAATGTAAAGTAAACTATTTTACATAAATATTCTTTCACAGTATAAACTGGGTCTTTATACGTCAAATTTTAGGATGGGAGATGCTTTCAATTCGAGGATGACCACATTTAAACCCTACTGTATACCCCTTGATGTATACTCTGCATAAACCCTATATAGCCCTATTATGGTCTATTATAGTGATCTATCACCTTTGCAAATTACTGAAGCCTGGCAATTAATAAATGAATGACAATTCTGAAGGTCACATCAGCCACAGAGAACAACAAAAATACTGACTTGTCAGACTAAACAGGTGCAGATCACAGATGTCAGTGACTGTCAAATTTAGTTACATTATTAAAAATGAAAACTGCTTAAAGTGTTCAGTGCACTGTGAGAGGACGACAGCTACACTTCAGAAAGGACTTCAGACAAGACGCGTATGAATATAAGAATACCCTCAGTAAACTAAATATAAAGCTTTTCTTTGTCAGGTATCTGTGAACAGCTCAATGACACCACCTTCAAGCTAAAACACGACTTTACACCGTCTCAAAAATTAATCGATTCCCTTCTTAGACAGCACGCTTGCGGTGCGTTTTGAAAGTTTAAACCCATTTTTGAACGTTTGACAACATTTTTGATTAACGTTACCTATGTTGTTTAAAATGCTGTCCAGGTAGTCAGTTCACTAGGTTTTGAAAACCAACCACTTACTTAAACATAGACTGAAAGAAAGAGACACATAAACAATGTTTTTCATGGATAAATTACCTAAAACCGATGTTCGATATGGTTTCTTATTCTTGTCTGTCTGTTACTAAGGTAATCTATGCTAAGCTAAGCTAACTGGGTAACGTTAGTAGCCTGTGTTTTCTTCACTCAAGTTCAAATAAAACTTTCCTACCTTTGAACTGAGGAGCCTTGGGGCTAGTCTGCTGATAGAGAGGAAGGACATTATTCTTGTATGTGTGTATGAATTTTACAAGTGGTTCTTTATCGACCCCTGCTTGAAGGTGCCCCTCTCGATACCGCGCTCACAATGAAGGTTGAAAAGGGAGTCGGGCCCTGTTGTAGGCGCGGGTTGGGTCAGATAGGTCCTGGTGAGGATGGAACGGCTTCGCGCGTTCTGATTGGTTAAAAATGAGAAAACTGATTTTGATTGGTGGAGCGTCTCATCGCGTTTTGACTTGATTGGCTCAAGAATGGAACGTACATAAATTATTCAGACGTAGACGTTTCGGCTGTAGGTCGTACTTTAAACTGCCTGACTAGAAATAGAATGACAGATAGAGTATGCTCATGTAAAGTCACGTGCGGTTTTTTTTAATCAGCTAATTTCGTATTTTCACAAATAAAAGGAATTTCTCGCCAAATTATAATTGTATCTTAATATAATGCCTTTAAAGATTTGAATTATGCCGCTTCTTGGCAATATCAACTAGTCTTGTAAGTTATGTGCATTGTCCTGAAATGACTTGAAACTGCACAAAGATTTCAGACTTTATTGGAAAAGGGTCATTAAATACAAATATACAGATATAGGGGCTCAAGGACGTTCATTTCAGACTTCATGCTGCCTGTAACATTGTCATGGCTCTGGCAGGAAGGATTTTCTTGGACCTACAGCACAACAGAGCATTCTGGGATATGTAACTTGCTTAGTTGCATCACAATGTCAACACACAAAACTTACAAGGTTTCTACATACACATTTCAGCAATACATGAAGGTCACAAAAATAAGTTCAATAAAATATTGATTTGGTGAATGAGAAAGTTGAAGGCAGGTGGGACGACTGAAATCTCGTGTTCTACGACTAGAAACTTTAAACTGTCCTACTTATAATACATTTTATTGTCATTTTGCCTGACTTGTTTCCTCAAGCATTATCTTCATAAGTTTTATGATGTTTAAAAATATGTCACTATGTCATGAGCTGGTGAACTTCTGGATAAAACCTGCATATACTGAGGAACACTACCATTCAAAACTGTGGGGTCGGTAAGATTTTTTTATCTTCACTAAGGCTGCATTTATTTGGTCAAACATGCAGTAATATTGTGAAATATTATTCAAATTTAAAAGAACTGTTTTCTATTTTAATATATTTTAAAATATAATTCATTCCTGTGACGGCAAAGTGAATTTTCAACCGCTTCAGTGTCATTTTATGCCTCAGAAATCATTCTAATACCAAGAAGTATTTATTTTTATTATAAATGATTAAAAATGGGTAACATTAATATTCTTACTATTTCTTATTTTTAATGTTGTGCTGCTTAATATTTTGTGGAATTACATGTTTTTGGATTCTTTGACTAATAGAAAGTTAATAAGAGCAGCATTTTTTTTTTAAATAGGAATCTTTTGTAACATTATAATGTCTTTACTGTCTTTACCTTGCTAAATAAAAGTATTAATAAAAAAAAAACCTTACTGACCCCAAGTTTTTGAATGGTAGTTTATATAAAAGCATATATGCATGTTTTTTTTGGACATTGTATATAAAAGTATTCCGATCTTAACAACTGATTAACCAAACTTTACCATGGTTACAGACTTTTTTGTCAAAAATATAAATTAATGAAACCCTGCATAAAGAATCTTAAAGAAACATTCAAAAATACTAAATGCACAAACTGACACATTCAAAACTGTAACATAAGTCAGTACCGAAAGGTTTGGTCACATAGTATTTGGCACATTTGATCTGTGAACATGAAATCTGCATATGCATGACAATGGCAACACAAAGAGTTGTTTGCCTGCCAACTAAAATATAGTTGCTCTCGGTGTGAAACTGCGCACAGCAGGGCTCGATGTTTATGAAGAGATATGATGTATGCTGGAGACCTTATGAGGCTTCTGTAAACAGCAGCATGCAGTGCGAGTCATTGATTTTGTAGTCTTACAGCAAGGACAGCCTGTGTACTTACACCACAATGATTTGGAGATATTCAAAACTTCTTGTCTGGCACACAGTGTGCTTTGGGTCAACACACTCTATGCAATTTCTACATTTTTTTCATTAATTTCTTTTGCGTTTGGCACAGAGATTATGAAAGAATCAGAGAATACAGCACCATGCAGCCGGTTTGTCATGCATATAAAGAACCAGGTTCAAATTACATTTTGCAGTTTACATTCAATCAAAACTTCCACAGTACAGGCTAGTGATAGATCAGATCTTGGGACATTTTTGAGATTATCATCCAATAACGATGTCAATTTGGCTGATTAACAGATGTGCTGGTTCGGTTTGGTGTCAATGTGTAAGAAACAATTTCTATTTCCAATTTTTTTGTGAATTTTAAAAGAAATATTGTGTAAAATAGGCATTCATTTCATGCCAGCAATCTCATTTGTGGTCCATATCTCTGCAGCATCATATTGTCCACCTTTCTAGATATCAGCATGAGATTCAGTGTTATTTAGTACGGTTTATATACTATTATAGTATTTATTAATATTTTTGATAGCTTTTAATGTTGTTTTCATTTTAATTTTAGTTCAAGTAGATTATTTCTAGTAATTTTAGAACTTCAACTTTAACTTTTATTTTATTTACATTAATTGCCAAGGCAACATTTCTCATTTTCATTCAAGTTTTTACGTTTTTAATCTAATATTTAATTTATTTCAGCTTTATTTCACTTAACAAAAAAATTTTTTTATAGTAAATAGTTATAGTATAGTAATAGTTAAACAAATAGTAAACAATAACACTGAATCGGTAAACCACTAGCATTTTCAACTTCACAATCCACAAAACATGTCTTGAAATATCCATCTTTCACCACAGTATGGCGCTGCAACATCAAGGCTGATCAACATGCATCTTTTGCCCATTTTACACATAAACTGCCTTAAGATGTTGATTGCATGGGGCCCTTAGTCATTATACTGTGTGTGATTTACTTGAAAACTGTATGAACCAGAGCAGTTGTGTTGCATCTTCCTGGACACTCAGGAAACATTTACGGTTGCAGTCTGAACAAAAAAAAATAAAACATTGCAAAATTGAGTTTGTGGTAGCTGGTGAATTTGGCCCTCTTGATCTCCGTTTTGCTAATTTTTCCTTTGGAGAACTAACGCATCCTGAAGTCAGACACCAGTACTGGGCACCTCTGAGGACCGAGAATGGACACAGTGGAAGAGATCACTCTTCCTCTTCGTCCTCCTCCTCTTCCTCCTCTATGTTGAGGAAGGGGTCGTATTTGAGGCAGTTGTGGAGGTAGTGAAGGAGCGTGCGGTGCAGGTGTTGGTTGGTCCGCTCTTCTCTTAAAGTGTGGCCTTCGTCTGGGTACAGCTGAAGGGTGTAGTTGGCCTCTACCTTCACCAGACGACTCAACAACTCAGCGCTGTGTTGGAAATGTACCCGTGCTAAACACACAAACAAGTAAAACATGACTGGAAATCCCCAAATGATGTATGTGAAGGATTTAAAATTCTGAAACTAACCATCTGCAGTCCCGTGTATGAGGAGGACGTTTTTATTTTTTAGCTTGTGAATGTCGTCCAACAAAGACGCAGCCTGCAAAGAAACAACATATTGGCATCTCAGTCTCAGTCATAATATAGAAGATTGTTTCTGAATGTAAAACAAAAAGGTAGTTGCAACTTTGTTTCTCATAAATGCTATTTTATTTCTCCCAAATGTGACCTTTTATCCAGTTATGGCTTTGTTTAACTGTAACTTTAAATGTCAAAATATGACTTAAAATCTCATAATTGTGTCTGTTTCTTGTAACTGTAACTTTGTCACAACGTAACTTTAATTTCTGTCACGTAACTGTGACTTTGTTTCTCATAACTTTGTGACAAAATGAATTTCTCACAACTATAACTTGTACCAGTAACTTATTTTACATTATATCTACTTTTTTTTTTTTACTCTGCGGAGTAAATTCCATAACGTAAAGGGGTCAAATTATGCTTTTTTAAAGATCATTATTTGGTGTAACAGAATATGTTGACATGCTTTAATGTTCAAAAAACACATTATTTTCAAATACTGTAAAGTGCTTTTGCTTTCGCCTAGAAACACACAGCGTCTCCCTGACATGGCTGCTTCAACACTAACTGCGGTTACTGAAACCACGCCTTCTTTCTTTGCGTGCACATTTGGGCGGCATTATGCAAATATTTCCACATAGTGACGTAGATATGTGGGGGCGTGTTAGAACGAGCCGTTTTAGGGGGGCGTGGCAGTCTTAACTTTGATAAAGAATATCTCTTTGGTTTTGAGGCTTTAGTCTTTGCAACTTCAGGGATCTTATCTATGCACAATCAGCTTGTAACACTCCAAAGAGAAAGGAAAACTTGAAATCGCATCATATGACCCCTTTAATGTTTGATAATGAATGAAAAGGTTGATACAAAAGGTCTACCATGTACGAATGCTCCTCTTTATTTGGAAGGCCTAGATATCTTTCTGAGAAGGCAGCACCTGAAAAACAAGGTTGAATCCATTTTCACACATAAATGTGAAAAGAAACAGTAGTGCACTAGATACAAATATTGTTCTGCCATGGTGTATGGAGCTGGAACTCACTATAGAGCTTGAAGTCTGTGATGGGAGCCATGACAGCAGCACATTTGAACATCTGATCGGTTGCTGTCAGCATCTTCAAACCTAAATAGCCACCAAGTCCCTGTGAGGTCAAAAGTAGGCTGATGTCAGAGCTCTGCAACTGAAGACTAAATTCAAAGTACATATCCTACGGTGACACATTGCTGCCACACACATATTATTTTTTCCACTCAATTATGTCGTAATTAATCGTTAATACTACACAATTATCTCATTAAAACGACATATTTTCTCGTAATAACGAGATATGTCGTTAATACTACACAATTATCTCATTAAAACGACATCTTTTCTCGTAATAACGAGATATGTCGTTAATACTACACAATTATCTCATTAAAACGACATCTTTTCTTGTAATAACGAGATATGTCGTTAATACTACACAATTATCTCGTTAAAACAACATCTTTTCTCGTAATAACGAGATGTTATGCCGTAAAAACGATATAATTATCTCGTTAAAACGACATCTTTTTCTCATTAAAACGACATATTTTTTCTCTTAATAACAACATATTATGTCATAAAAACGATGTTTTCCCGTTATTATAGATATATGGTAGCCTACATTATGTGAGCGAGCTAAGCGACTATCCGCGCTGCTGTCGCCACAGTCTGACATAAACGAGGATCTGCACGCTGCTGAAATGATTGAAATACACTGTTTTAAATGTATTTTAATGTAATGGTTTTAATTGTAGCGGCATGTTTATTAGGATTAATCTCCAATCTGTCTACAATATAGTGCTATCCAATAACTGCACTCAGACCCATGACTCGTTTAGGCTATGATCAGATCAAAACAGTTATTTTTGAATAATCGACTCTGGGCTTAATATTTCTTTATTTGAATGACTGAAGTTTGAATTAACAACAAATCGAAATACGAAATAAAAAGAAATAAAGACATTTTCTAATAGGCTAATAATAATAATAATAATAATAATAATTATTATTATTATTAGCCTATTCTGTTTGGCAAACGGGCAACGAAAATTAAGCTAGATTTTTCTTTTTTTTTTGTTCATGGGTTAAAAAATGAGCTTGCTATTTGTGCGTGGGCGGCCCTAAAAATGCCACTTTTTCTCTCAGCCTGTCTTTACTGCCTATATCCCATCACACAGAATAAGAGTTCATCTCATGTACCGCTCTGCAAATTAGTCACAATAACATTTCTTCAAACTGTCTGGCTGTTGTATAGGCTACATTGCTTGCAAATATACATCTCATATAAAGCACAACACTGTTCTTCTCGGTTCGGCGGCGCCGGCGCGATCCCTTAGGCTACACTGTGACAACAGAGGAAAGAAATGTCTGCTTTATTTTCGACTTCCACAATAACAACAAAACGTTACAAATTGCTTTTGTAAAATAACAGGGTGCGCTTTCTGGCGCACCTTGTTATGTCTAAAGGTCTACTTAAATAAAACAATCGAAAACAAATTTGTGTTTATTTAATTCGTATAGCCTAAATCCAACAAGAGGTAGGCCTACTGTACAGTCTTTCCCGTCTGAGCTCATCTGTATT